GTCCCTCTGGAAGGCAGATAAGGGTAGGGAGGGAAATTTATCCCCTCTCACCTCCATCCCAGGCCCCAAAAAAACCTTCCACATCAAACAGATGTTCACCTGCACATCTGCTAATGTGGTCTATTGTATCCACTGTTCCCGATGTGGTCTCCTCTAAATTGGTGAGACCAAGTGGAGGCTCGGAGACCGTTTTGTAGAACACCTACAAACGACAATACCTCCCAGTCGGGAATCACTTCAACTCCCCCTCCCCTCCCACTCCCTGGGTGATATGTGGGTGAGGGTGAGTCTGTATGACAGTGTATGTATGGGTGAATGTATGTTACTAATTGTGTGTGGGTGAGTAAGTGTGTGCATATATAAGAGTATGCATGTGAGTATGTGTCTGTTAGTTTGTATGTGTGTGTGTATGCATGTGAGAAAGTGTGTTGTAAATGTGTCTGTGGGGTGATTGTGTGTATGAGTGGGAGTGTGTTTTCTTTTTATGCATGTGAGTGAAGTTGTGTTTGTGTGAGGGTATTCTCATAAGTGAGGGGGTGTTTGTGAGTATGAGGGAACGTTTGTATGAGTGAGAGTGCAACGGTATGAATGGGGGGCGGTGTTAGTATGAGGATGTGCTGTGTGTGAGGTAATAGTTATATGTGTAGGAATGGGGATGTGTTTGAGTGTAAGGATATATTAGTGTGAGAGAGAGGGTGTGTGCGTGTGTGAGAGAGAGAGATGGACGATATATTTGTATTTTGGGTATGTTTGCGTACATGTGTGATTAAGTACATGTAAGTGAGGGAGTGTTTGTGTCTAAGTGAGGGGAATTTCAGGTTGAGCGCATGTGTTTGCATGTTTGAAGGTGTATTTGTGTGAGGGTGTGTGTGTATGAGAGTTTGTGTATGTAGTGGCATGTGTGCGGGGGTGTTTGAAGTTGTGTGAGGGGATTTTGATGAGGGGGTATCAATGTGTGTGGGAGTGCTGTGAGTGGCAGTGTGTCAGTGTGAGGGTGCATGAAGGCATATGATTATGTGAGGGAGAATGAGGGTCTGTGAGGATATGTTTCAATGTATTGTGAGAGTGAGTGGGTGTCAGTGAGTAAGGATATGTGAGTGAGGGGGTTTTGGTGTGAGTGACGGGGTGTCTGCAAAAGTGAATAAGTAATTGTGAGTGTGTGTGTGTGTATGTGTGTGTGTCAATGTGAGTGAAGGTGTGTGAGGTGAGGGCTTCTGGTGGGGTTGTGAATGATGGGGTGTCTGTATGTGTATGTGAGTGAGTGTGTGAGGGCTTTTTCGTTGAAATTAGCTGCAGAGTGAGATGGTGCTGTTGCCAGTAGCGATCTCCCACTTAGCATTGCTGGAGCGAACCTATTTGACCAAGAATAGATGCTAAATTGAAAGGCTGGGAACTGGTCCTACCTTGCAGCCAGGGAGATTTGTAAATGCATGGGAACATCCATGCATATTTTGTCCCAGAACTTTGAACAGCTGAAATAGTTTGAAAGCTTGCAGACCTTTGTACCTAGGGAGACAGCGCTACCTTCTTGAAAGGAATAGCTGCAGAAGGTGTATTGTTTTTGAAGGATACTCTGAAATCTATTGTCAGAAGATAACACAGCCCCTTTAAGGGAAAATGAACCATTATCCTGTGTTCCTTCATCCCTCTGTTGGAAACAATTGCATTCCAGATTACTACAGGAAGCTTTCAATCGCAGGAGGTGAATGGACGGGAAATGGAGAGAGAGTAGGGAGGCCATAAAGGAGTGGTGGAGTAAGCGGATATTAACAGAGAAGGACAGATGAGGATGAGGAAGAGACTAGTTAGGAGACAAAAAAGGAGAGGCAGTCTAAGAGAGAAAGTCAGAGGTAACGTGAGAAAAGGGGAGTGAGAACTGGAGAATGAAAAGGAGAGGGAGACAGGGGAACAGGAGAAAGTATGGAGAGGCAGCGATGGAGAGAGGGTGTGAAAGGAAGAGGAAGGTGGGAGAAAAGGAAGGAATTGAAAGTGAATGGAAGAGATTAAGAAAGGAGGGTGAAAAAGAGAGGGGGAATGCGGGGTGTGGAGCTGAGCACAAGAGGGAGATAGAGGAGTGTCAGGGAACAGACAGAGAGATACTGAGGGAGATGAAGATGGAAGGTGAGAGGATAAAAAGCCAAAAAGGAGTGTGATACAAGATGAAGAAATAGGACAGAGGGAGTTTGTGGGCATGTCATCTTGGGGCATGGGGGGTCGATGGTTGAGGGGTTGTACATTTGCTCTTTTCTGGTTCCCTGGTTGTGACCCTCTGTGTAAAACAGAGCCACGATTCAGGGGGTAAATGTATGCAAGGAATGTTGGTTATAGAAATGTAGGATGACCTGCACACATTAGGAGAACGCAAAGAGGCGTGCAACAGGCATCTCATTAGTATGCAAATAGCCCCACTCAGCAAACACTCAGTATTACAGCCTCATATAATCATGCAAATGCACTCGCTGGGCTCTGGGTCCTCTCTCCATTGCCACTGATGAGAGAGGGGAAATTAAATATCTGACAACATTGATAAGAACAAGGTGCAGCAAAAGTGTCATAGTGTATCTGCAGGTGACATGAATCCTCTCCTTCCCCCTCTGTCTAATTTAAACCATATAAAAGAGATATGCTACTACACAGAACCGAATTGCATTTGTGACTATGTATATGCATAAAGATATTTTCATGAATAAAGTATATTTTTGAAATTAAAAAAGGGGTTATGTGAGTAATTCAAGGCATCTCAATGCTCAGCTGATGCTATATTAAAGAAGTACTAGGGTTGTACCTGGAGGATAGGATAATACACGGGGAACTTCATTCAATTTCTAAGCCTGTACTGTACTGTCCCTGCCCAGGAAATCTTTAATGGATACAATGTAAAGGCATCTTTACTCTTGTATCCAAACCCATGCTGCACCTGCCCTGGCAGTGTTTGATGAGATGGAGTAGAGGAAGTTTTATTCTTTAACCTGTGCTGGGTGTACTGACAGACTAGAGGGAGAATTATCTTGTATCTAACCCCATGCTGTATCGGTTTTGGGACTATTAGGTCTACAGTAAGGATGGAGCTTTACTCTTTATCTAGCCTGTGCTGTGCCTGTCCTGAGAATGTTTCATGGGAACAGTGTTGAGGGAGCTTTACTCGACATTTAACCCATGCTGTACCTGTCCCAGGAGTGTTTGATGGGGAGAGTATAGAGGGAGCTTTACCTCATATCTAACCCTTGCTGTACCAGCCCTGGGAATCTTTGATAGAGATAGCATAGGAGAAGCTTTAGTCTATAGCTAACTCGTGATCTACCAGCCCTAGGGGCATTTGATAGGACAGTGTAGACAGAGCTTTGCTCTGTATTTAACCTACACTGTACTGCTCTGGGAGTGTTTGATTTGTCAGTGCAAAACAGCTTCAATGTCTGTCAAATGCATGCAGTACCGGCCCTGGGAGAGCTCTGACAGTGCCAAGTTAATACACATGAGCAGATTTCATTATTTCTACACATTGGCTTAACTTTTTTCATGAGGAACCCATGAGAGAGTCATAATTTTAACACTGATTGATACAATTCAATAACTTACCTGATATTGCAGATTGAGGCGAGTCAGCCTCGAGTTCTTTCGAAGTAGTTTAGGATATAGTGAAAGAAATTCTCAAATCTTCAGCAGAGTAGGGGAAAAAGCCCTTCTTCCCTTCTTTCCATGCTGACGCATCCCGCTGATGAATCTCTGTCAACACCACATGCTATTCCTTATGCTGGAGTCCTGGAGTCCGCTTGACATTAGGAATCAGTCTGAGGGCTCAATTAAGGCCTCTCTCTCCTCTCTCTCTCTCTCTCCCTCTCTCTCTCTCTCTCCCTCTCTCTCTCTCTCAGTATATCAGTGACAAGAAACTGGCCAGGCTCTGGTTTGAATGCAAGTCTTTAAATAGTGCTCACTCCTGCTCGGCAACAAAGGAACCCAGAGCTGTTCTCGTTCGATTGGAATCAATGGTTTTAGAAGAACCAAATAAACTGAAAGCAATAAAAGCAAGTTTCTGACTTAAAATGGTGCTGCACACCAGTGGGGCATCAGGTACTGTAGTCATCGCTTTCTTAAAACATTTGATTCCCTGAGCTGAGCCTGATGAAGATTACATGAGCCACAGAAGCATATTTTCAATATATAAATAATTATACACGCACGCACGCGCGCACACACACATATATAGTGTGACGTTGGTGACAATTGAAACACTTCACTTGTTACCAGGGCAACTTGTCGAAATTCTTTCTGATGTATTCAGAGGCATGCTGGATGAACATAAGAGAAAGCTACAGCAGATTCTGCTGAGAAGTTGAGATGATGTAGGGGTGAAAGGGGTTTTGTGTGGAATATGAATGTGGCATGAGCCATTTGGGTCAAATAGCTTGTGTCTGGTGGAAAGGGAGATGGTAGCATCAGTGCTCATGTCACTGGACCACATAAGGCCTGAGTTTAAATCTGATCCAAGGAAACACTGGTGGGATTTAAACTAAATTAAGAAAACAACTGAATCAAGAGAGAGTCACAGCCCTGGTGACCATGACAACTACAAGTGACTTGTAAAAATGCACCTCATTTGTTATTGCCCTTAAGGAAAGGAATTCTGCCATTCTTATCCAGTTTTGGCCTCCATGTGACTCCAAACCCCACAGAAATGTGGTTGACTCTTAAATACCCTCTGAAATGACCCAGGAAGCCATTCAGTTCAAGTACATTAGGAATAGGCAACAAATGCTCGCCTTGCCAGCGATGCCCGAATTCTATGAGAGAATAAAAATGTCCAAGCTGCTGATCAAAGATTGATCTCGGCCTTCACTCATTGTAAGGAAGCAAACCAACATCCCCGTAACCTCCAACCTTCCCTAGTCTCAGCAGACTTCACCCAGGATTGAATGCTTGCACATTGTAGGTGAAGTAGGATCCTTGCTTCCCAAGACAAGTCTCTCGTAACTTATACTTCTGTTTGAAATGACTGCACTTACTGTTGGCCGGAAGGGGGCAGATGCCACTGCATCCATGCTCAGTTGTTTCCCTCCAGGTATGCTCTTCCTCCGTGAAGACCGACCAGGGTGATACTCTGAAAGACATAAGGTGAAAACAAGTTCTTAAATTTTTTTTATTGAGCGGGGCAGGCCATGGATTCAAACACTGAAACAGCCACATAAATACTCTGACTACAAGAGGCTGGGATTTCTGCATCAAGAACTAACTTCCTGATTACAAAAGACTTTGCACCATTACAGTGTACACATCAGGAGGTTCTCCTCCGGTTGTCTGGATGAGAGGCATTTCAATGACATCCAATAAACTCAACATTATCCAGGACAAAGCAACCTGTTTGACTGACACACCATCCACCACCTAAAATGTTCACTCCACAAATAATACACAATGGCAGCAGTGTGTACCAACTACAAGATGCACTGCAGCAATTCACCAAGGCTCCTTAGACAGTAACTTCCAAAACTAGACCACTGCCACCAAGAAAGGCAAGGTCAGCAGATTAATGGAACATTACAATCACAATTTCCCCTCTAAGTCATACACTGCTCACTTTTGGAATTGTATCACCATTCCTTCAAGGTCACTAGGTCAAAATATTGGAACCCCCATTCTGAAGGCACTATGGGTCTACCTACTCAACATGGGCAGTGATGGTTCAGGAATTTAGGGATGGAAAGTAAATGTTGGCCCAATTATTTATGCCTATTTTACGTAGTTATGCATATAATAATTTGAAAAAAAAACCACTGCTACATTCACCACACCGCCATCTTATGCCTGCCAAGAATCAATGGTCGAACGTCTTTTTAAAGAGTACACATGGAAGGTGGGGGAATCGATACTGCTGAATGAATGCATGTTCAGTTGTGCGTTTTTAAAAGAGAGCATTAATGAGAGTGGTGAGCTCCAAAATGGCAGGTCTGGCATCAAGTCAGATGACATGATTTGATTATTGTTTGTACTTCTGGGACATAACAGGTTCATACATAATACCCTCATGAATATTACATTCAACTCATGCTGCACTGGAAATGGGCGCTTTAGCAAGAGGAATGGAAAATCAGAACATTGTTTAATACAGAAATCTGTAGCACAGAAGATCTGGGTGTGTTGACACATATGTCACAAAAGGTTAGCATGCAAATACAACAAGTAATCAGGATGGCAAATTGAAAGTTAGTCTTTATTGCAGGGTGGATAAAATATAAAAGTAGGCACGTTTTACTCTGGCTGTTCAAAGTCTAAGAGAGACCCAATCTGTAGGTATTGTATACAGTTTTAGTCTTTTCAAGAGGCTAATGTTTGTAACGGAAGCAATTCAGAGAAGTTCAATGGGCTGATTCCTGGAATGAAAGGTTTGATTAATGAAGAAAGTTTGAGTTGGTTGGGTCTGTATCCATTGGAATTTAGAAGAATAAGATGATCTTATTGAAACACTTAAGATTCTGGGTGAGCCTGGGTGAGTTAGTGCAGTGCATCTTGTAGATGGTGAATGCTGTTGCTTCTGTGTAGTGCTGAAGGGAGTGAAGTTGAAGGTGGAGCATGGGGAGCTATACAAGTACCTCTGTAAACTAGCCATTAGTAGGACCTTTCAGGACCATTGGGAAGCTATCATTAAATGCATTCCTGCTATTTTCATTGGCATAATTCTGCCCACTGTTTCAGAAAAATTTCCAAAGTATAGTCAAGTAGAATATTTACCTAATGACTTAATGCAAACATCGGTAATAGGAATGCTGTTCAGAGGATCAATGGGCCAAATGGCCTGCTTCCACACTGTAGGGATTCTGTGATTGATTTGAAAGTGTTCAACTCAATGTTGAGTCTGGAAAGCTGCAATATATCTAATCTGTTCCTTGAGCTCCGGGACACCCTAGTCCATTCATCAACCACTAACACTATCCCTCCTTCCCACTGCACTTTCCTATGTAACCGTAGTAGGTGCAATGCCTGCCCCTTTACCTCCTCCCTGCTCACCACCCAAGAGCTAAACAGACTTTCCAGGTGAAGCAGCATTTCACCTATTCCTCCTTCAATCTCATGTAATGTATTTGCTGCACCCAATGTAACCTACTCCACATTGGAGAAACCAAACGCAGACTGGGTGACCACTTCGCAAAACACCTCTGGTCTGTGCACAAGCATGACCCCGACCTTCTTGTAGTCAGTCATTTTAACACAGTATCATGCTCACATGCCCATTTGTCTGTCTTCAGCATGCTGCAGTGCTCCAGTGAATCATAGTGCAAACTGGAGGAACAACATCTCATCTTCAGTCTAGGCACTTCACAGTCTTCTGGACTTAATATTGAGTTCAACACCTTCAAATTGTGAACCAACTTCCATTCTTTCCCTTTCTTTTAGCTTTACTTGTTACATTCTCTGCCACTATGTCGTCTCCCCCCTCCCCCCACCCCCCACCCCAGTGGGACTGTCTGTTCTTTCTAGTCTGGCAGTTAGACACACCAATGTTCTGCCATTCTCACTTTCCATCACTTAATCTGAACTATCCTTTCTCTCCCAGCAGTCTACACCTCACCACCCACTCCTAACTATAGCATAAATGCTGCCCCCTCCACACTTCAGCTCTGATGAAGTGTCATCTAGACTCGAAATGTTAGCTGCTCTCTCTCCATTGATGCTGCCTGTCCCGCTGTGATCGCCAGTATTTGTTGTTTTCAGTACAGATTCCAGCATTCCTGTTTTACTTATATCCGGGAGTATTAAACTTTAATCTGAACCTGGATTGTTTTGTACTCTGAACTTTGCTCACACATCCCTTCTCTTATCTCGAAGTTGTTAGTTTTACTGTGATTAACACCCCTCTCATCTCCTGCACTGAATTCAAGTTATTTCCACAGCTCGAATTATCCTTTCTGCTAACGAGCCATTTTTGAGCACTATTCAAATGGAGCTCACATCAGCTGGACATTCTTTCCCATGCTCTTACTGGTGTCAGTGTCTCAGGAAACTGTTTCCCACAGGAATCTTTCAGAAATGCACCTATCTCCCTAATCTGTTTATCCTTATGCCATTTAGCATGAGGTTTCGATGATAAGCCTCGATCATCACCTTCCTTTTTCAGTCATTTCATAATATTCCTTGCTTATCCTGGCAGCAGGTGGGTAACATAGCCTTCGGGAATCTAGAATATGATTGAAGATACTATTATATATCTAAACCAATGCTGCCCCTGTCCTGGGAGTGTTTGATGGATAGCTTGAGTCTGTGTCTAACCCCATGCAGTACTTGGTGTCAGATAATGGAATATGCAAATGATAATTATGTAACTGATGATGTTACTTTGACAACGGCTGAGTAGATGGCAAGAGATCAGACTAGAAAGAAGCAATGTAAAGAGAGAGATACTACACTAAAAAATATAGAGTAATATTCAGTAACCTGCAGTGTATAGCTGTAAATAATGTGTTACAGATATGGGGCAGATATACTCTACTACATTGAATACTGCACAAAATGGTACATCATTCTAGGAATGGTTGAGAACAATTCCTTATTCAGTAGTATTCAGTAACCTGCAATGTATGATTGTAAATAAAGAGTGTTATAGTATTGATGGAGTGGAAGAGCCTTACTCAAATCCACAGACCAGAGATACTAAGGAGAAAATCTGACAATGTTAGTTGCAGTGTAAGCATCAAACGGAAGAGCACATGGGAAAGGACAGCGGAACCGTGTAACCTGTGCTAAACCTGCCCTGAGATAGTTTGATGGGACAGTGCAGAGAAAGCTTGACACTTCTTCCAACCCACACTATACTTAGGAGTATTTGGTGGGACAGTGTAGTGAGAGTCTTATTCTGTATTTAAGACTGCGCTGTGTTTGTCCTGGGAGCGTTTGATAGGACAGTATAGATGGAGCTTTACTCTGTATCTAATTTGTGCTGTACTTGCCCTACAAGTGTTTGTTAGGGACAGCACTGAATGTGATTTAATAAGTTGCAATAAGATCTTCTTTGCAAAGGCAAAAATCATGAAATATTACTATTCTTGAAAAAATACAATAAGTAAGAAACTCACTTCTGAAGCTTCAGTCAGGTTCTTATCGTCAATCTGAAGAAAGGAATGTGGCAAATAATGATAAGCTGAGAACGTCCTTTCGAGATTCAGCTAGAAAAAGACGTGAATGAACCAGTCTACTATTTATAGTGTGTGTGGGGGAGTTAATAGGAGAGAGAGGGAGAGAGGGAGGGAGAGAGGGAGGGAGAGAGAGACGAGAGCATAAGAAAGGACGTGACAGAGCTACAAACAGATATGGTGATGGAGAGAAAGAAACATTGAGAGATTAAAAAAAGGAGATACAGAGAGAAAGATATAGAAATGGAGAGGGAAAGTTGAGAGAAAAAGATGGAGAAGCAAATAGAGCTGTACAGACTGAATTTATGATCAATATCTTTGAATTGATTAAAAGGGTAAACGGATGTCACTGACAAGAGAATGTTTGTTGGGACAAGTTAAATATTCATTACTGGCTGTTCCTGGGAAGATGTACTTCAGATTTGCATGATTCAATTTATAGGTGCAATGTTGTCGGAGGAGGATGAGGAGGAGGAGGAAGAGGAGCAACCAATAACTAGACTGTTGCATGGCAACAGCGTTCCCATGATACAGAATTCAGGACTGAACCTCGCTCATCTGCTGCACAGTAATGTAGGAAAATCAGTGACAGGAAACGTAGTGGGTTTGACTGGCTTTCCCAGATTAAAAAATTGTTTTGTCCATAGACTTCAGCACAGAAATCCAGGCTGCCAATCCCAGTGGAGGAGTGAAGGACTGCTGCACTGTCACAGAGTCAGTACTAAGGAAGTGCTGTATAGACCTATGCAGCATCAGTACTGAGGGAGTGCTGCACTGTCGGAAAATCAGGACTGAGAGAATGCTATATGGTCAGAGGGTCAGAACTGAGGGGGTGTTGAACTGTTGGAAGATCAGTACTGAGGGAGTGCTGCACTGCCAGATGAGCAGTACTAAGAAATACAAAATATGGCCGATTGAACACTTCAATGCCTTTTACCTACTACATTTCCATAATGATATATGCTGTAGGTAATTA